AAAAATGATATTTTTGAATTCTTGTTGAAAATAGCAAGTCCCATTGCATTGATACTATCCATATTGTTCATTTTCTAATGATATCTTCTGTTCTTTAATTGAAATGTGCATCGCTAACAGCGGATCTATCTCAGCCGAGAGGCTGCTTGTTTTGCTTTTCAGTATGGAAGGCATTCTTTCAGTAAATAATGCATAGACTGGTCAGGGCTAGGAATTAACACTAGCCCAAGGCACACAGTGCAGACTACGAAATCTTGTCCTGGGGATACTGTACTATTTTTTTTTTGAATTAGTAGCCCATCTAGACTACTAAAAATTTACAAAAAATATTTGTTTTGAAAAAAAGCAATTAGTCTTCAAAATTATAGTTGCCTCACACAAATTGAGCAAAATGGCACATATTTATTTTTATTTACTGTTTTCTGCATGGCTGTACGAACCTTAGAAACCAGAAGAACCAGATATTTCCATGGGAATACCAGCTTTTAAAACTGACAGCCTGTCAAACTTTCAAGAATTTTGTTAATTTTGAGCCCTGTTAGTGAGATGTCCCCACACTTCTATTCAATTAAAATAGTGTAAGCAACTGAAATATATTATATATAAAAATATAGAAGCAGATGCAAAAGGAGTAAACAATGTAAAAATTAAAAACCAATTAAAAAATAATTAATGCCTACACATTGGATTATAATTAGCTGACACAATATACTGGTCATTCTAATATATAAATAGAAATGCATCTTGTATGAAGTAATTTTTTTACCATTTTTGGCAATTCAATCGAGCCTTAAAATGATATCTATATGGATTAGATTATGTTTGGTCTTGTACAAATTTCAATATAGTACACTCTGTTTTGTAATCTGTTCGCATAGACTATGTCTGTACTTTAAAACTAAATGCAATAAACATTATTCTCTAGTTATTAATTTCACTATTTTCATTGATAACTAAAATTTGTTTAATTAAATCCACATAAAATAGAACTCATTGTTTTCCGGCCAAGCTTGTGAACTTTAAAACCCAGTCCACTTGCTCAAATCACGAAAATAGTGACAATAAATGTTTTTTACTGTATTTTTTTGTTGTGCTACGGATAACAGGTAATCTGATTTCTCATTGAAAATTTAGGTTGAAAAGTATTACTAGTCTGAGTGAGTCATATTGTCTAACACTTTGGCTAGTTTTAGTTACCAGTATTTCTTTTTATTTCCTCATTCCAATTTGACTTTTGTTGATTGACTTCTTACATGTAATAACAGAAATACTTGTTTTATCAAAAAAATATTAAATGCAAAACTTACTGAGGATTAAAAATCAATATTCTGAGGCATACATTCAATTACCGGTAGTCATGAGAAACTTTGATTGTTTGGTTTAATCATGGAAGGTACTCCATACTCGTGGTACCTTCCATGGTTTAATAGACATCAGGAGACTACCTGGCTGATTGACCCAAAACAACTTGGACTTTTTTGTGAAAAACTTCTGAGAACAGTTTAGGGAGGGCGGGGCAGGGTCTAAAGAAACATTTTAATAAAAAAACTTGTACTGTATTACCATTAAGCATACATTTGTCACTTTATCATCCAATTGCTGCCAATCATAGTTCAGTTATTGGTTCTGTACTTGTTATTTGCTCTTAAGGTAGAGATGCAGTTTACCTGACAGGTATTTTAATTAGTTAATTAGGAAACCAAGATGACCTCCCTTGTCCACAAAACTATATATTTTCAGAAAGCTTATTGTATGAATTTTAAAATTTTGTTAGTATTTTTTTTTATGGACACTGTAGTTTGAAATATGCACAAAAATGTGCTTTTTAGTCAAAAGTGATTTAAAAAAAAATAGCTTCTAAACCATGCTTCTGTTTCCTGTCAAAATTTGTTTATGGGTACATCAGTTTACTATGAAGAAAGTGCCGTCTTGAAAACTGTCTACCAGTTGTCAATTTTGCATGGCAGCAGCTCAAATTTCACTCTTTCAAGTTTATGCATAAATTAACACCCAGGCTAGTTGTCTGTACGATTGTTGTTACACTGTTCAACCAAAACCAATGCCCCGATGGCATAAACACATTGTCTATCATTTGTGAAAATTTCAAAACAAAAGGAGCTATTTTTTTTTAAAGTTCTGGGATGTGCACTAAAAAGAAGCTGAGATAATTGCTAATTTGCATAACAATTCATCCAGTAAGAAGTTTGCTAATGCTCATAATTAAAATGGCTGTAACAGTTCCAAATTTAAATGTATTATCGTTTTGTAAAAAGTTAAGTATAGTGCATAATATGGAGATCCCGTTTCTTTTTTTCACCATGTTTCTTTTTTATTATTTATGTGCAGTCTTGCTAAATCTTGCTAAGCATTCAATAGAGAGAATGTTTGCACCTGTTATCTATATTTTAACATCGTCTTTTTAGTATGTTCTACTATTCACAATTCCACAAAATTTTAACAGTCTATATCCAAGACTGTTTGGATAATAAAAAGCGAAAAGAAAAAATTCACTCCCAAGTGCCCACGAACTTGCATCTCTACCTTAAGAGCACCCTGCACAGAATCATAATACTGGAATTAATTCTTTAAATGTATAGTTTTCATCTCTACTTTTGATTTTGATTGTCAGTCTGATGTTAAACTTGCAAAATATAATCTCACAAGAGAAAGATGCCTGAAATAAAAGATGACATCATACAACTATTTATATATAGTGCAATTGATAATACCGGGAAATACTAGTAATATCTTTCCAGTTATTAATAACAATAGGTGTGTTGTCACGTGATGGGTGTGGTGGGAATAACAGTTATTAAATATGGTCACCATATCATAATTGATATAATAGCAACAAATTGTTCCACTCAAATATTTATATATAAAGTTTTAATTGCTAGCCCTAAATGCATCACAACATGAATGTATTGAATTTAATCAAATTTAATTTAATTCAGTTGATTGAGTATTTGGACAAACGAGTGTACACAAATTCCATTCGCAGAAGAGATTAAAAATGTAGCATGTATTCAATTTCAAATGTGCATCGTGAAATGCAAACAGTTTTAAAAAGCATGTTTTCTGTACAAATATGAAATATTTATTATTTATAAAATACACTTTGAATATTGAAAAAAATAATGCAGAAAAAAGGCAGTTCTAAAATCAATATTGTTTTTACATTGTTCAACACTCATTGAAATTGGTAAAATATGTCCATAAATCAATTAGTGTGACAGGGAATGCTGGAATTAAACCTTAGCTTTCATTTCGGTTTTGTATCCAGAAATGAACAATGAATCACACTAGCAAACGTTAATAATTATAATAATAATAATAATAATAAATAATACTTTTACTGTGAGAACCAGCTTGTTAAAAAGAAAATTAAAAATTTACTAAAGCGCCCACAGGCATAAAGAAATTTAAAATTAACCTTATTGATTTGTCTTACTTGTGAATTGCAGCTTAATAATAATATAAGATTATTACAAAGATACCTCAAAGTATGCACGAAGACGGTACAGTAGCAGTATCGACCTACACCGACACGCAGTGGGGGTCGATGCGACAGCATACTGTATCTTTGTAATAACCTTATTATTATACATCTTTTCCTACCAAGGATACATCATGGGAATGCCGAAATCTAAAAAGTTTAGAACAGAATCAGTGAACTGGAGTCAGGTCAAACCTTGGGGGCAGCCATGTTCGTTTTTATTATTATCAGAGGACGCTTACGTGTGTAACCATTCCATATTTGGAATTCGCATTTTCTTATAAGGTAGAATGAAAATACTCCGTAATATACCGCAAAATTACAGCAAGCTGTAAAAGATGTATAATAATAACTTTTATTTTGAGAACTTGCTTTTTAAAAAGAAAATTAAAAATTTACTGCAGAGAAAATTGAAATTAATTTTATTAGTTTGTAGCATTTGTAAATTTCAGCAGGTGACATTGTAACCAAAAGAATAATATCCTGATCTTGTTTTAAATTTCCTATTTTCATTACACTCAGTGTGGTGAATAACTAGCAGCAATTAGACTTGCTATTTATAATTTATTTTCTTCATGCCAGACATTGTAGTGTACATCTTATGGGAAACTAGACCTGTTAGCTAGCTAAACATTCTGTAATTCAAGTTTGGAGTTAATTAAATGTTTCTTTTGGTTAGTGTATTTTCAGTATTACTGTATAGATTTCTGAATGCAACTAAATTCACTATAGACTAAAATTAAAAAAAACTAATAAAAAAAAATTCAATAATGTATATCCAGTAACACTGAAAATAAAAGTAGATATGAATAACTTTTTATTTTACTGTCAAATAATGGAATTAATTTGCGCTGAAAATACATTTTGGTAGTTTGTATGTAGTTTATTTTCACTGATTGATGAGTTGACTGTGAAATATAGGAAAATAGATATATTTGCTGGATTTTATTTCACTAAATCATCCCTTTAGCAAAAACAGTGTCTTGCATGAACAAGTTGACAAGTTCAAAATTGAAGAATTTTTTAGTAGAGCTGAAAGGTGTACATACAAGTGCCCATTTTCCAGTATGGCCAATTTTAGGCAGTTTTAAGGCATACCCTATGAGCAACCTGCATATAAAGACAACCTGTCTATAGTGACCTCTTTTAGGCAGCCTTCAGGCATGACATATGAACAACCTGTGTTGTTTGTTTTGTTTGAAACACAACGCAATTTAAGCATGCTATTTTAAGCCTGTTGAATTGTAATTTAGGGAATTCTTTATGTATGGCAATGTATTATGTTATTATTACTTTGAAAGCTAGGACTTGGGGGGGGGGGGTATGATAATGAATAAAAAAAACAGTTGTTTTTTTGCAGGAGTGGCCAGTTTTCACTGTTCCCCCTTTTAATAAATAATAAATGCAATGTAATTTTACTAAATTGGGTATTTTTTTGTTTTTCTCCCTGTTGCTTCATGTACCTCAAATAACAAATATTGAGTAAATAAAAGGCTAGTTTTTTTGCTATTTACGGGTACTGAATTTGTTGACTAAACATAAATTACAGTCATAATAAGTCGTGTTTTAATGATCAAATAATCAATAAATTCAATTTATGTGCTTTTTCACAGAAGGTGGTTCCAGATGATGCAGTCATACAGCCTGCAACAGCGCCCCCGCGCCGAAAAGGTTGTTGCACTCCTCTCAGATGCTGTTTATTCATTGGATTACTGGTTTTTGCCCTTGTCGGTCTCTCAGTCGGTGTGTACATTCTTGTAAATCACTATGATGGGGTGAGTTAATATTTCAAATCTCAGCAGCCATTTGATGAGTTCTTTGTAGTTCAGTTTGTCTTGTATTTTAAAAATGACGACAATTTACAAATTGACCACTTTAGCTCCTGTGTGCCGAGCACAAACAAGAGGTTGTATATACACCGTACATTGTGCCACACATAGTCACGTACCTTCATTTGATAATCTGATACACGACGGCTGAAGGGTGACCATTTTAATGTTCAAAATGCATGGACAGATTTAGTTCAAACTTGTATGGGACATGATGCGTGTCATTTTGTTTTTTTTTCCCCAAAGAAATTCAAAGTGGTTAAACTGTATTTGTTCGATAATCCAATTTATGATTTTAATGTTAAATATTCATTAAAATCAAGCATTTCAACTGGAGTAGAACCAGATCTCAGTCTTACATGGACAGCTATTGTTCTAATTCAGTACATTCATGAGCATAATAGTTGCTTTTGATGCATAACAATTTTGTTCGCGATTCAAAATATCTGACTATTTTTTTTTTTTTATTTTGATATCCAACTGATAGTCATTGTTGTCCTCCAGTTTTTCATGCATTGCATTATATTCACAATTGTCATAAACATAACAGTATACACATTGGTTTATTTTGTAATTTGATTTTTATTTTTCCTGGCGTCTCCTACCCATTTCTAATGCGATAATTTCACTGAAGTCATAATACTGTGAATATTTAGTCTGATCAAATTCAATGTCTATGTCAATTTGAATTCACAGCTTGGTAGTCCATCATGATTTTCAATATTGTTCAATTTCTCTCGTGCACAGAATCGTTTTACTTGTGGTGTAACCTACGATAAGCCTGGACGCTTTCATGATGATTACAGTAGTAAAGAAGTGAGTAATTGTAATATTTAAGTAAGGTTGCATTCACACATTGTATTATATGCAGCACACCTTCCATTCATTGCTATGATCACCGTGAAGAAATGATAAAATTCTGAAATACTGAAGCTAGTGTGTTTTGAAGCTTTGTGGTGTTTCATCATGAAATCAATCCTAATTTGCATTGATGTAATCCCTCAAGGCCACTTTGCTTTGTTTTAGGAGAAGTTATTAATAAGCCATATACTGCTCACTTCGAGATAGCGTGTGGCCAAGATTTACGTTCTTGGCAACTAGTTTTGATCATGTGACACAGGTCAAGCTTTCCCCCAGAGAGGATGGCAGCACCATTGTTCACTTTGTTGTATTCTGTTCACTCAACAACATCGACTGTACAAAAATGCTACAGTGGGAGTTAAACAGTGCTCTTATGGTAAATGCGAGAGTGATTCTCGAATTCATCTAAAGTATTACACAAATGAAGAGTTTTTTACACATTTCCAGCAAACTAAAACACAAGCTGAGAAATGTGATTGGTGGATCAGTGCCTGTTTTCATGCTGATGACTTTGAGAACACTGGATCACGCAAGACACTTACAGTAGTTAGACTGCATTAGTGCCCAGTGTCCTCAATTTCGAAAATCATGATGCATACCCGAGAGCCCACATATTTTGTCGAAGTCAAAATCTTCATCAGTTTCTTCATTGTTGAATGTTTTTGATGGTATGCAAACTCTTGATGAAAACCACTTTCAGCCATAACGTATTCTTGCACGATTTGACTTGCAACAATGTCTTCCAGTGACCTGATGGGTCAAGTCTGTTATTAACGAATCTGAATGCTATGTTGTCCAAAGGCAATTCTTCGGAAATTCCCAAAGACTTTCTGGTAATGTATTGCAGAAGTGAATTATCAATGTTGAAGTACGATCTGTTAGAATCGATTTCGGCAAATAAACTGCATGACTTTTTCAAAAGCTAACCAGCAAAAACTAAATATGACAAGAAGTATTTACAGCATTTCACTTTTATTAACGCAGAGTTACCATGCTATACACATTCACAACATATGTGACGGTGGTTGATGTTCATGCTGTATATTATAAAAATGATTCCCAGTAATTGTTAAGCAATAATCAAAGAGTTTTATGATTAGACAGTCTAACTAGGGGCATTTTGAAGGGAGTGAGCACTTCGCCAAGCATGGGCATTTACGTGTGTTCCTTGCACTTTATCAGAGACCGACATCGTCTCCTCTAGTACTGATACCAGCAACTGCAAGGGGTGTAGAATTTGATGTTGAAACACCAAATTTACGCACAAGGCTCTTGAGCACATATAAACGTAAAAAGAACGATAAAACAAACGAATCACAGGTGTTGAAATTAGGACAACAGACAACATTATTTTAGGACACCATTGTGAACCAAAGCTTGAACTGTGTCATGCGGCTGGCAACGGTTGTCAGGGTATCTTGCGTGATCTTGCAGTGAGCGACATATCCTATATTCAATTTTGAGATTCTGTTAGATAAGATTACAGTGTGTATCTTGTGAACTGTATAAAATCCAACATAATAAATGCCTACAGGGGTCAGTAGGAGACAATGTAGGAAATGCAATTTTTTTCTTTAATGCCATCATTTCACTGCAGATTTTGTGCATTTGTTATTTAATGATTATAATTAACTTTTTTATTTTGAACAAAACTGATATAATTTACCACCACTACCAAACAGGATGAAGACGGTCATTTGGATGCTGATATTATTATTGATCCCCAACGTGAGTACGAGCAAATTGAACAACCCGAAAACGACGAGTGTGAGCGTATCACCATTATGCACGACTACACAGTGGTAGGTACTGATTATGGAAATAAAAAAAAATCTTGCCCAAAAAGCTGATAATAAAGATATTTATTTGAGAACATGTATGAGTCTCAATTCATTTATTATAAATATTTTGTAAAACATAAATAGCAAGGAAAATGAAAAAGTTTATCACTTCCCTTCTATTCTTGCTATTTCATAGCAATTGTCCGCATACAGATTATGGTCTAGTAACAAGTGCTATGTAAAGATCCTGAACCAGACAACCAGCCTGAACCCACAGGAATTCTGGGAGAAACTGAGGGTAAGTTTCACCTGTTTGAATTTTTGAAAGCATAATTTTCTCATTAGAAATTGGAAAGCTGATCCAGCTGATTCTATTATGTGTCTTGTTTTGCTGATATGCGCATGTTATATAGTGCATTGATTATTTAATTGTGTACTTTATACAGTGCTTCAACCAAAATAATGCACAAAAATATGTGTAATTTTTGTAATTGCTACTACTGTAAAATTATTAATTTCTAGTACTTGATCTGTTAGAAGCACATCTTCAATAGAAGTGCATTAAGATAAAAAAAATGGTTTTTATCGTATATTGGGTCACTAATATAATATAATATTATCACTTTTTGATTGATTCAATAAATAGTAGTTCATTATTAACAGATAATAAAATATTTAAAATGATTTCAGAAAACTTTGTTCTTCATACAACAAGTTCATTGTTAGAATAATAAGCTATCTTGCATCTGGTTGTGTGTCCAGCAAAAACACATATTGACCAATTATGTTTCTTTTATTGTAGGATCCAAACTTCTTTAATCAACATTTTCAAACATTGGTGGAGACTTACCTTGTGGTTTTACCACGATTGGAGCACTTTGGTGGTCTTGGTCTCTACATCCCACTTCTCTGTCAGGACGTTGATACTTATTGGCTGGAAAAGGTCTCTACAGTTCAGATGGATGAGTTTATGAACGAAGCTCTTAGATTGTTGGCGGAAGTGATGGGTGACATGATGGGTGGTACTGAGAACATTGACCAACAACCTGCTCAACGTAAGCGCCGTGGTAAGTGTTTATTTCATGCCAGTCACTGTATTTGGTCTATTAGAAGCAACATTTCCAGTTGAAGAGTGTATTATCTAAGAATTGCAAATAGTTGCTTGTTTCATCAAAAATATGACTACGGGCAAGCCGTTGTCATTATGCATGTTTTTGGGGGGGCTGCTTCCACTTTTAGCGTATGTATTTTGCTACAAATATATGCAAAAGCTTTTGTACGTGTAGCTTTAGTATAGATATCTTAGGATTAGATCTGTTTATGTTTTATAATGCAAAATAGATAATATTTAAGAATGTTAAAATTTGTGGTAATACTCATCCTGTAACATTATAGAAAGAAAAATGGTAGGAATATTGAAACACATTTTGAAAAAAATCGTTTGAAGAATGTCTTCTTTAACTAATTTTGGACCAAATCAGATTATTATTACTTTTATTACTTTCTGTAATAATTCCTCTCTGTCTTCATCTTTAGAAACCACTAAGATGCTTGATGATGTCATCACCTGGGCTGGGAAGAGTGTACTTGATATGCAAATTTTGAAACCGGAAATCGCTGAAGTCTTAAAGAAATCTGGGAAGTTACCAGATGGGCAGCCATCAATTGGGAAGGCTGGAAAGATTGCGCGAAAAATCGCCAAAAGTATGCCAAAACATGCCATGCGTATGAAAGCAAGAAATATCTAAGTGTTCATTACGAAATTAGCAACATTCATTGCTATAGCAATAACCTTGAGATGCACTTCCTAGCCTTCAAGCCAAATATTGTTGTGATGTTGTAATTTAAAAAATTCAAATGAAAACAGTTTTTCAATTATTAGATCACTGATTGAGCAATTTTGCAACAAATTTGGCCGGAGACTTTTTGGATGTAGTGGCATGTTCACATATTTACCCAGTCATATACTTGTATATATATATACGGAATAAGAAATGAGAGATTTTCACTTTTATAAATATGCAATTTACATTTTATTTTGTGACCTTTTAGTGACATGTACAGTGAAAGGCATAAAGCTGGGGACGTTATAAACATTTTATAAATATAAATTTATATAAACCAAAATGACAATGTGGAGCTCTCCAACCAATCATTATTAAATATTTGAATAAAAGCTGATAACCAGTATTTACAAATTATTGATATGTTTCTAAAATAAGGTACAGCCCTTTGCCTTTCACTGTAATTATACCATTCCACAATTGGTCTAATTTACTGCTCTGGTTAATTGACATTTAATATGGTTTTATCAATTTACTGATATTTGGAGATTGTTTCGAGTTCTGCTAGAGTTGATGTGATACAATATTCCGATGCACAATCTTCATCCTAAATATAAACCAACTTATTGTTGTCAATTCGGTGGGGTAAGAACAACAATCGTAGCCTCAAACCAAAATGTGACCCAGCTAGTCTGACTTGCTTGTTGCTATGGAAATGTTTTATTTCACCTGATGGTCTGTATACTACAATTCACCCAAATCTATAACCTAGATTTGTTGATGTGGAATCGTTCTAAACTTTTGTATTTGCATCTCAGGTGTATTTACTCAATTCCACTATAGTCACCATCAAAACACTATTATTTGATTTGTGTGTATAATTTCTATTTACACACTGTTATTAATCTCATAATTACTTGTGTATAATACTTAAGATATTTCATACAGGTAATTTACAGGGCTATGGGTCTTGTTTGTAAAATTACTATCATCGCTATTGCAGCTCTGTTTAATATATCTGCTCTATTAGAAACACATCTCCAATAGAAGTGCACATAAACCAAAATTTGGATTCATTGTACATGGAATCAGTAAAAATGTGATTTATTTTGACTATAGGCTCACCTTATTTACCTAAACGTGTGTGCTGCTGTAAAATCTTTATTAGAAGCGACATCTCTAATAGAAGTCACACCCATTTTTTTGGCAACAATTGAGAACAAAATAATCATAATTTCTCATTTGTGTAGATGTTCTAATAAAAACCGCATCCCCTCTGTTGCTTTGTATCATTTTAGTAGAAACTGCGGCTTCTAATACAGATTTTACACAACTAAGGGACGACGTCAAAAGATTGATGTCGGATAAAAAACTTATTTCCTTTAGTTTGGGGGTGGGGGGTTTTGACCTCAAAAAGTTTCCATCCGACAAGAACGAATCTTGGAGTATTTGTAGTTCGTTTTTTTTCTATCCAATCATGGACAGAAATAACCGAAAAGGGGAAAAAAACAGAAAAATGGTTTGGTTCGAGTGTAAATCTGTGGGTCAAATGAGGTGCATTTGTGAAATCTGTTTACACCCACCCGACAACCAACTGCTATGCAATAGTACTGTCCGATTATCCATTTGTATTTAATGGTGAATGTAGTCTGACACCATGACCAATATTTATCAATTAAGTTTCAGTGGGGAGTAGGGGGGTTTGGAAAAAAACTAAAGGAATTAAGTTTTTTATCAGACATCGATCTTTTGACGTCGTCCCTAATAGAGCAAAAACCATAGATGTTTTTGAGAATGTTATATTCACATAATTCAAGAGTTTTATGAAAATAAAAAGTGTAGGAATGGCTAATAGTAGTGATTCTGTGCAATATATTGGATTAACATTACTGTAAATACTGGTTTAAACTTAGCACAAATGTACATCTCTGGAAGGTGATCATTCCCAAATACAAATTGAATAGCGCCCTCTATGTTATGGCACAATTTTACTGATAGCTTCTTGGTACAATTGTAATACAAATTGATTAGCGCTCTCTATTTTATCATTCAAAAATGATTACAAAATCCAGGAAGCTGTATTTGTTGCATTAGAAGCATATAATCAAGTAACTCCAACTGTTGCATACATAGTATACTGGATAATTAAAATATGACTTATTTTGGCCATGGACTAGCCTGCTACACAAGCGGTATCTACAGTTTGGTGTGCTCAGAAAAATAGGTAAACTCTAGAAACGTATTTGGGGTCAATAATTTAAAAAATAACATAGTGTTGGGTTTGCTATTCCTATTTTATAATTACAACTGACCCACGGAAACTGAGGCATTCCTAATTGGTACTGACTCTGACCTCTCCCCCCAAACCTACGTTTAATAAGTGTGAAAATCCATACTAAGTTCGCATTATAGCACTTTCATGTACACCGGGATAGTTCATGTCCGTTTGTAGCCAGTGTTTTGCGTCATTTATTGCAATTTTAAACTGAATTACCTTTACCCCTTCCCCGACCTTTCCACCAAATCGAATGACTTGCGTTTCCCGTACGTCAGTTATGATGATTGGCCAGCCTTCATCGTGACCGGGATCGTGACTTAAAATAACGCGTTTAGTATACAGGATGCTATCTGCCACTAGCGGGCGCTAATGAATTGACACTGTTTTCGACCTCGGAACTCCCCAACATCATAGTGTCGTACAACGAACACCAGCATGTTATGATTGACCTACTGATGGCGTAATTAAAATTCGAGAGAAATACTCTTTAATCTGATGCAACTTTGATTTTTATAAACTAATTTTAATAATTTTGTTTCATATTGCATTTTGACAAAAACTTATGGTATGATTTATTGTAAAAATCATAACCTGTCTGCAACTTCAGATATTGCAATATTCTGTCAATAAAATACTGAAAACATACGTTTATAATTACACGTACATATAGGCAAATCAACGTATTTTATCGAACGAATACAGCTATTTGTTTATTTGAATTATACTTTGATAAAAATGTTTTAACAATATAAAAAAAAAAAACAATTTATAAACGCACCCTAAAATACTCGTTATTCGTATTTCATCTTTACCCCCACATACAAAACATGATTTTTTGTAACTTCCTCATCCCATTGACTAAATTGCAGCTTTCCTCAACATATGTAATAAGTGTCTAGGCAAGAAACTGAAGTATTGTTCAAATGAAAATTTCATAAAGATTGAAAGAATTTCGTTTTGACTTAGACGTTTGTTTTTCTTTTCTCGTAAAAATAATGATTGAACAATCCCATGTCATCTATTTGCGAGTATCCGTGACTGTAGCAATAATTTCTTCGCTGTATATGAAGATGAACTCGCTCAATATGCAAAAGAAATACAACAACATTGATAACATTATTAATACAGGCTTTCTTTTGTTTCCATTTGTAATTCAAATCCAGTAAAAAAATAATGAAACATTTTGTCTAAGTGTTTAAATAGAATGTTATTTGTGTATCAATTCCAATTATATTCTGCATTTTTGCATGACCTAACGCAATAGAATATTTAATGGTCCAGTGAATTGTTTGCCGTTGATATGAAAACATACATAACGACCATACGTAAAGGCAGCTATGTGTCCTAAACTTTAAAAAACTTGTCTCAACCGAAACGGTGCATTATAATGTCATACACATATTTACAGAAGAGTAATTATCTTTGTAAGGAAATCTTCGTTACATGTTTGTGGTCAATTCATTACAAACATGCACTTCATTCCGCTAAACATTTGTTTAGCAAGTAATTAGACACCTAATTATTTATTTGTTTTACAAAGAATGATTCCTGAACTCCAGAACCCTTCTTTAGATCCGCCACTGATATTCTCGTTAAAATCTTGTTCATTTCACATGACAGCACTATTAAGCAATGTTAAAAAGTGTCTGCTCACATATTATATTTGTAATGTACAAAGTCAGCACAGAATCCATGGAAAGATCATACCAGTGTGCTCGGTAAAGTAATTTAATAAACTATTACATTCTAGATGTTGGCTCGCTTAGTACTACTATAATCTGGTGTTGATAAAGAATGCTAATGAAATTCCAGTTTCCTTGGCAGTCGGAAACCAGGTCTCTTCCAGAATTTAATCGATTGGTCCGTGAGGGCATATTCCTCTAAGCATGTTATAATAATTCTGATTGTAGTGATATTCCAAAAATTGTCTTCCAAAAACTCATGTCTTCTTTTCTCAAGAACAACCTCTCCTAACATATTTATAATAATTGATCTACAACTTTTGGGTAGGACAATGAGCAGCGCCGATGACGTGTGTGTACGAGCGCCCTCTGTCAAGGGCTTTTTTTAATATTTTGCGACAAAAACTATATGAGAATCATATGAAAATGCATGTATCCCAGAATGCCGATTGCTGAACAATTGTTCATTTTCATTACTGGAGCGTAAGATTTTAATGTGTATAATTATGATTGTCATAAAAATATCATCAATGAAACTGCCATCATTTTCTGTATCTCTGCCAGTGCAGTGCGTGGAATCGTGTTGCGACGACCACCGCTCCTTAAAATTCTGGCCTGTGTGTGTTGTGCTATATGAATTAAGTTTTGAATTAAGTAATTGTAGCGTGTTAATTGAAAACACGCCCATGACCTTATTTGAAATGTGTTAAAACGTATAAAAAATATTAACAAGAAGGGTGCTGACCATTTTCATTTGACGCAACACACAATGCACTGTTACGGACTTCAAACAAACTTGACACCTTCTGGCTGTCGCGTGGGAACAACCATTATTATAACATGAACACTGACATTTGAAATGTACTTATGGTTGAAATGAACTACAGCATGTCAATTAAGGAAACTGATGCCAACAACAACGTGCTCCGAACATTAAGAAGACCGTCGTAGGTTCCCCAGACGTGATAATTGTTTCCGAGCCTGTGGCACATCGTTGTTCGTACGTCAGGGACTCTCGAAGGAACGTAGTCTGCCAAGAAACGGGCATTGCAATTGATTAAAATTATCTCCCTGAAGAAGAAATTGTTTTTAAAGACATGCCACGCTTTCAAAATAAACGTGAACGCTGATCGTAGTAGAAAATCAATTTATCAAGTAATTTCCCATTTTACATTTCGGTGACGCAAACTGCAGTGACTATGTACATCAATAACATATTTGAGGACATTTCCACACGATGATCTGAAAGTAGCAGTATTATCATGTGTTCATCGGTACATGTTTGCATGTCGATATCACTGTATTAATATATAAGTGCACCGGAAGTGGGCAGCAATTGGTAGCCATTACGACTATTAAAAATCCATAAAATGACGTCAACATTTCGTTTAGACTTGTGTTCGATTTCTCAATGCTGTTATGGATGTGGTGTATATTATTGAAATGAGCTTGTCGTGTAAGCAATGTACTTACACACGTTGAATACGTCGCACGAGACTGATATATGAAAGGCAAAGCTTAGCGAAATGTTCTCTTGAATGAAATACAAAGAACAAATACAAATCTGTCTTTGTAATTTCTTCGCAGTGTTAAATCCTACTCCGGCTGTACCTTTGGATAAATTGGGAAAAGGACAAAATGCATACAATTAAAGTTAATAATACCGAAACTAAGATTCAATCAATTTTAGAAAATGTCTGTCCTAAAAGTATTTTAGTCGCGTTCATCCTTAAGAATTTCTTTACTCATTTCATCTCTTTTTATCGGCATTATAAGTTGAAAGATTTCTTGATCCGGTTGTCATGGGAATAGAAGTTTTGGTAGAAGTTATCATCCTTTCCAGATAATTTCCAGATACGTTATCGGCAAATATTGTTGATATTGTATAAGACCTGGACTCAGTTACCGTAGAAACATTTTGTGAAGGATTTCTCACTGAAAAATTATTGTTGTAATTTTTTAACGCTACGGGGGAAAAAGCAAAGTCGTAACCCCCAGATTTGCACTTGATCTTGATAGGATCATTGTAAGAATAAGTACTTTACAGATGTAGTTCATGGTAACTTGATTAACAAATCTTATACCATTATTAGTTGTTTATCACAATCACAAAAAACGCGCTAATTTCCAATTTTACCCACAATTGTGTGTATATTTTATAGTAAAAAAACCTGATTCGGTTACGTACTGTGTTATGCGTAGATGCTACTATCAAACATCGTAGCTTGACATGCCAAGACAAATGTCACATTGATCAAAGAGCTCCTTCAACATGTCACATCAGTGATGTTATGATTGATTCATTCGACACAAATTATTTCTTGGACGATTTAAATACAAAACAGCTAGGAACATAAATTAAAAGGAAAAAACATTTTTTTGTTTTTTAAAACACTCCCAGACTGACGTTATACCTTTACTCAAGGGAGACTCAAGGTCATTCAAATACACACTTGTTTTAATATTCAAGAATGTTAAAATGGCTCTATTGAGGGTAGTTCATGACGAAACATTTCTCGTCGCCCATTTGGTTCAATGCAGTAGAAATTATCAACTGTCCTATTATTTGGCATGTGTTCCGGACAGTTACAATATTTAGACAGTGGTTCCGGGTTCTTAATTTCACTAGGATAAGTTTCAGTATAGTATAAATGAAATGTAGTACACGCGTGATACGAAGATGTTGTTTATCGTTACCCAATCCACATGCATCGGAACACTTTTAACAGCGTTTTTGAAAGTGAAATTTTAACAGACAATCAAGTGCGAAACGGTTGTAATACTTGACAGATTGTTTTTCAATAAAACAGTCCACGAAGGTATTTCCCCAGTTCACCATAAACTCTATTTCGACGTGTTTTGATTGTCCATGAAAGAGAAAACGACAAAATG